CCTTGGATCTGTGCATGTGTGCGTACAGCCCGCTACTACTACCACCTCCCGAACAGAATACAGATGCGCTCTCTTCCATTCCATACACCCCCCTCCTCCTTTGAGCGTGAGCCTGCCACAACACAGAGCGGCTCAGGTATCACTGTCAGGGCGCTCCCACAGGGAACACTGGGCAAGTCAAAAACAGCCTCATCGCCTGTCACTCCACGCACAGAGGAGAGTGTGTAGGGGGTGTGTATGCCGCGCACGAGCAAGCATGGAACCAAAAGGAATGGAAAAGAGAATCTGAAAAAAAGAAAATGAAATTGGGTATGCTTGCCAGACGTGCCAGGGGGTTCTAGATGTGTTGGGGACATTTACATTTTATTTGAAAATGTTACACGATGTGAGTTACAAAGTTGTCATTTGCTGGATACTGATACTAACACAGCCAACGCAAAAAAAAAAAAAAAAAAAACTTGTACGTGACTACACATGATATTGACTTGAATTGTTGCAGAATACCTTGGCAAATCCTTAAACTGTACTTAATAGGCCCAATCACTTCCTCATCATTGTGCCTCTGGGCTATTGTGAGAACTGATTGCAATAGAAAATAAGAAGTAATCAAAATACACAAATTACCATATCTCCATGTTAATAGTTTACAGCAGGGGTGTCTAAAATTTTTTTCTCCAGTGAGCTACTTTTACAAAACAAAAATACAAGGCAAGAAACTGAGTAAATATAAGAGCCACGGCAAGCTTTAGATGCGGTGTAGTTAGATGCAAATAAAATGTAAACCATTATCCAGTTATTATTGTGTGCACAAAATTAGATGATGATATACATTGGTAAAAGGCATTCAAGTAATCAAATTGTAGTTATTACTCAATACGAAAAAATCAGAAATCCCTTGGCGAGCTACTTTGAAAGGATTGGAGAGATTCTGGTACAGGTTGGAGACCCCTGGTTTACAGTGATGACCCCAAATAAGGGGGAAAAAAAAACACATAAAACAAAGTGTAAAACATTACTGAATTAAAACTTAAATGAGTTTAATTAATACATTGAGATGTGGTGTTTACTGGCCTGTGCTGTGGTGAAATTGTAGCGCATGATGATCACGACCAAGAGTGAAAAAGTGATTACGAGCTATAGTGACACACTGTGGACAAAGCATAATGTTATAATAATTTTCTCTGTTAAGGCTTTTTAAATGATTGAATATTGTTTTTGTAATATTGCCAAAGGACTTTTTGGCAGTTTGATTTAGCAGTGAAAGAGAGAGAATGATTCTTATAAACATCTGCAGTGTACAGTGGTTCATATTGTGTTAGTGAAATATACTTGATGCTGTGGGAATGACAACATGACAGTGTACTTCAACATATTCAACATAGTCCAGGAAGGAAGTTGAGGAAATAGGCAAGGTATGATTCAGAAATCCCTTGGTGAGCTATTTGGAAAGAGTTGGAGAGATACTGGTAGCTCCCAAGCTACAGGTTGGAGACCCCCTGGTGATGATTCCAAATAAGAGGAAAAAAACATGTAAAACTGAGCATAAAACATTACTGAATTAAAACGGCCAAACTTTCTAAAACTGTGGTTTAAAAAAAGTATGAAATAATTGGTGGGTGTCTTTGGACTCCATTGAAGCTGCACATTTTTATGCCAGTTCCCCCCTCTCCCTCTCTCCCTCTCTCCCTCTGCCTGTCTCCTCTGTCCACCGTTCACAGTGACTGCCCCAGCTGTGGGACATGCCACCTGCTCACTGGTCTGAGTGGACATGGTGGCTGCTCCAGCTCTGGCCTGGGAGTCCCTGATAAGAGCAGCTGTGTCTAACATGTATATCCTCTGACTGCATGTCCCGGCTTCAGAGAACTGTTTCACCAGCGTCATGTGCTCCGGCCCATAGATTTCCAATCAGGTGTGCCATCTCTTAAAACTGGGCTGCCAGAAGGCTTGCTTCTGCTGTCAGAGTCAGCATTGTGATAGGCCTTTTACTATAATTACTATATTGACTTTTCATTCAATATATGAAGAATGAGAATAAATTGTTTTCAGGACTCAATATTTGCCAGTGGGGAACATTTTAATAACCAGTTAGCACAATGGCTCATTGTTTAGTGGCTTTCAGATTATGGAATGTGATGATGGAAGGAAAAGAAAGCAGAAAATCAGTAACTAGAGGCTCTTAAATGTGATAAATTACTCCAAAAACAGCATAATAACAGCTTATTTTTATCAATAACTTGCACTTTTAGATGTTCGATCCCAAACTTCTATTAGTATGTATAAATTTCTATGAATGTATAAATCCTTCACCTTATTTTGATAAAGAGTATCATTATCATCAGTCATTATAATATGTATAAATTAAAGGGCTTGTATTACACTATTTTCTGAACTGTTGAGATATTGTTTCCTGGTCACAAACATACCTGGAGTTGTGTTTTGTTTAATTTACACATGTTTAAGACACAAACCCTGCATATTTAGGCTGAGTTCTTCTCTCAAACAGAAAACACTCTGCTCCACCTGGTTGATGTCATGTGGTAATACAGGAAGGCCTCCACTGTGTTTTAAGCTCCATACACCTTCACTAGAATCGTTTGGATCAGTTCAGCCCTGGAATTGCCAATCTGTACTGAACTAAAGGTAAAAGGAACTGCTATCTTGAAAACTACCTCTTCAAGACATCACAAGGTAGAACAGAGCATTTTGAGCTTTGGAGATGTAGACAAGGATTACTCAGAAATGTTGTGTACTGTAGGACCTTTAATCTATTACTATTATTTTTCATCGCAGCATTTCCGTATTTGCTACTGTGACAGGCCAGTGCAGCACAGTTCTACACCAGTTCACACTATTCTCCCTAATGCGGTCGGGCAGCCTGTTTGAGCAATGTCCCACAAAGTTTACTGTTTCCTTTTTCACACCTGATCAAAGTCGTGGACGCAGTGGGAAGCGCGGGCTCAGAGTCTTAGGAGCGGAGCGCGCGTCGGCTTACGATGTTTGGCTAACCTTGTGTTGTGTTTTCTTCCTGGACGGTGGATCATATTGATGTTTTGTATCTCTTCTAGGGATAAAGCCAACTGTCCTCAGTCGTCGGCATTGATTTTTGGAAGTTTTTTTTTTATCTCCAGTTGAAGCAAATTTTCTCAATAGACACAGCAGGCGGTGAGGGGAGTGAGTGACTGCCTGGCTGGACAAATTCTCCCTTGGATGAATTGGCGGCATCTGTTTTTCTTAGCGCTGTAGGATCACTGCTAATCCCCAATGCACTGGTGGTGTTGAGCTGTGTGTGCTGATTCAAGGGAACTTTTAGTGCGGCTAAATCCAGTCATTAAAACTTTACTAAGGACAAGCGCACTGCAGTAGAAAACAGAACTAAATGGAGTCTATAATTAGCTCACTTGGGTCTATTAGAAATGCATTTAATTAATACAGTGAGATGTGGTGTTTACTGGCCTGTGCAGTGATGAAATTGTAGCGCATGATGATCACGACCAAGAGTGAAAAAGTGATTACGAGCTATAGTGACACACTGTGGACAACGTTCAGCAAAAATGTAATAATCATTTTTTCTGTTAAGGCTTTTTAAATAATTGAATATCATTTTTGTAATAACGCTGAATGACTTTTTGGCAACTCTGATTTAGCAATGAAAGAGTGATTTTTATAATCGCTTGTGTTAACAGTAAAGTGAAATATACTTGATGCTGTGGGAATGACAACATATTCTGCATAGTCCAGGAAGGAAGTTAAGGAAATAAGAAATATAAATGAAGGAAATTGGATAGTTTTTGGGAAAGAATGTTCTTGGATTCTTTCCCAAAAAGAAATATTATTAAATATATCATTTGCAACTGCATCCTTCCATATAAGGGCTATTCTCTACCTGGAGTGTGCTAGAATATTATAATATTGATATTTCGTGATATTAAATTTGGTAAAAGAGTATTGATATTATTAGCTGCTATTTCAATATCACTGTGAGTAATTTTTGGTTAATTTTATTGAATATTTTTTTGACACTGCTACAATTTTGTTGCTTGTTTATAGAAAAGGAACTTGTTTATTCAATATATTTGTCACAGTTGCTGTTTTGATTCTTAAAAGTGGTGTATTTATTAGGTTTGTGCAGGTGTAGTTCAACAAATACTATTGTTAAACTCTATTAGGTTCTTAAAATAGTGTCTGTGTAAATTGTCCAGGTAGGAACAGTAGCAAAAAAAAATCAATTCTGTCATCTGAACAAAAGTATTTTTGAGTGAAGACTAAGGCTCTGCAAATAATTGAATTTTTTTGCGATTTTGATTTGTGTGCCAAATGATCTCCAAACTTATATAATCGAATTGAAAAGATACATTTTAACAAAGTTTATTTTACATATTTTTTCTATAAATCAGTATATATATATATATTTTTTAAAATATTGTAGATTGTAGAACAACTGGATATATAGTTTATTTTGGATACAAAACTGCTCTAAGCCTATATTTATTTTCAATTTGTTAGTTTTTTTGAGAGAGAAAATGCTGAATAAATACATCGTGTACCTAAAAATAATCCTTTGAGTAATTGTGATTTCAATATTGACCAAAATAATCATGATAATGATTTTTTCCATAATTGAGCAGTCCTGGTGAAGACGTTTTACAGCTTATCTAAGCGGCTACTTCAGTTTTAGTCAAATTGCCGGTGGGCACTTCCTTATATCTGCCTGAAGGGAAAAACGTCTTCACTCAGAAATACTTTTGTCCAGCTTACAGTATTGATTTTTAAAATTTGTTTCATTCTATGGTCCTTAAAATAGTGTTATATAGCATGTGCAATATTATTGTAGTACAAAATCATCTCATCATACCATGAGCCATGTATTATGTATCACATTGACTAGTGAGTAACAGCACTATTCTCTTCCAAGCTTGTTACATGTTGGCAGCCATCTTGTTTGCGGTTTCATTACATCTACTTGATTTCTCATCTTTTTCTGCTCTTCTTGTCTTTTCCAGGCTGCAGAGGGATGCTGTGTGGTTTCGGTGCAGTCTGCGAGCGTAACCCGACTGACCCATCCAAGGCCGAGTGTGTGTGCAAGAGAGTGGAGTGCCCCCTGCTGGTGGCCCCTGTCTGTGGCTCCGACTCCTCCACCTACACCAATGAGTGCGAGCTGGAGAAGGCCCAGTGCACCAACCAGAGACGCATCAAGGTTCTCCGTAAAGGGCCATGCTGTAAGTCTCTGCTTTTCACCCACTCTCACACCCTTTAAATAGACCTCATAATGAATTCAGTTAGCCTGCCAGAGCTGCCACTTCCAAGTACATTTGCTATTTCCAGTACTGCATGGGGAACCTCTCAACCTTCTTATGCACTTGTTTCAAAGTAGTCGGCAACGTGATGAAGATGTGTTTCGAAATCACATGAAGGCTGCAAAGTCATTAATACACGTGGGCTAGAGGGCAGAGCATTTTAGCAGCTAGTGTTTGGAATTAGTGTCCTATATATGATTATCTAGTGTGAAATGGTTTGAAGAAAGAAGCGACTGTGAGAAGTTGCCAGGAAGTCCCTTGTGAAAGACCCTTCGAAGTACTGTACGAAGGCTTTGTAATTGTGTTTCTGATTTCATTTTATTACAAAGATGAGAGGCTGACAAACAAGACAGACCTTTCTAACCATCATGTGAAGTGACAAAATGTCTCAATAACTAGTAAGAGAAGAGACAGATAACTCTTGACTAAGAAGAATTACAGATTCACATGCAAAAACAGTAGTGTAAGTGTAAAATCCTAGAGGACGTGTGCTCTCTGTAGAGCAGTGTCTTCAAAAACAAAAACTATTTTTGCCAGGAAAATATATTTTCCTTGATGAAATCCACTCAACTTTATTTTCAAGTAATATAGTCTACACTGAAATGGAAACATTTTATTTATTTTCATTTACAACAGTATACATTTATAAGAGTACTGAATAGTTATTGTCTGCAGAAGTCTGTTATTTATACACAGCAGGACGCATCAAATAAATAGAGTAAATGAATTTGAAATAAGTGGGTGGGATTAAATAAATTGTTAAAACTTCTTCTCACTTCTTCCAACATACATGATTACGTAATGTTACAATGCCATGTATAGATTTATCTTTTGTCTGCAGTCTTCAAAATGAAACTAGTACTGCTATTACTATTATTATTATAACTTCATAAACTCTTTTATTAGGCAGAACTGTACTGCACAGCTGAAGTGCCTCCAAGGGTTTGCATTTATTCACATAATAAATAGGTCTAGCACAAAGATCCATGTGTTATAAAACCCTGACCATTTCATAAAATGACCTGAACATGTACAAGTACAGGCTGCTTCAGTTGTCTTTGGGTTTTCTGATTGACCTCAAAATAATGATTGTATTATAAGTCCACAGAAGGACAATGAAAAAAAAAAGTTATTTAAACCTAATACATTTTCCAATGTTGTGTCTCTAGCTACTTTTAACGGATTTTGTCCTGCATTATGGAAAATCCCATGATGCTTAGAGTGATGATCAGTTTAATTAAAATAGCTTGTAAGCGTGGATATAGGATATAAAATGCACATAGTCATACAACCTCACATTTGACCCAGGTATTTCACTATTATCTTGTCATTTAAGTTGAACAAGTGTACAGCTCATTTCCTGGCAGCTTAAGTAAATGCTTTGTTTATCTGAGCTTTGCCATAAAATCTTGGAAATATATGGAGGCCATTCATGTCGTGGTCCATGGAGCAGGGTGAGTGCCTGTTATATGAACTGTTGCCATTAGCTGTATTGAGCGCTGTGAGAGGTGAAATTGGTGCCTTTGATCCAGAGAAAGATCAATGTCAGTATAGGATCAGTGAATGTACAATATTTCAGAAAGTAATCTGACCCGAGCTGGCAGCTTCCATTAGGCTTCAATCAGAGAGCTGTAGAAAGGGCAGTCAGTGGAGGTGTGTTACAGAAAGTGCGGGAAAGAGAGTAGGCCGGGGTGGAAGTTTGTTCTTTTATATTGTATGCAAATCACATTATTGACCAATGTTGTAAATGCGCTCTATGGCTATGTTCACTCTGAGCTAGTATTAGAAGTTCAAAGCTAAAGCTGGTATTTGAATGCATATGAGATTTATGCATATATATATATGTATATATGTGTGTGTGTGTATACAATATATATATATATATATATATATATATATATATATATATATATACACACACACACATATACATACATAAATAATGTTATTGTAGCTGCTGTCTTGGTGAAGTATCAGAGTATTGATACTGGCAGCTGATATCATCACTATTCCTTGGGGGTGGGGGGTAATGATAACACAGGCACAGCTCTGTCTGACGCTTTGTTGGACTTTAATTTAGTCTTGATTTTAACACAATTTGACAATAAACAACTGACTTAGCGGGAACTTAAACAAGTGAGGTAATTTGTGCTGTTAAACAAATCCCACTCAAATAATATTACAGTCACAAGCTAACTATCAGCCAAAAGTACTTCACACTCACCTTAAAAAAAAAATTAAAAAATCAAACACCTGAACAAGAGCATGAACACTTGTGTTGATCACAAGGTTCCTGAAAATGTGCTGTTTAAATAGATTTTGTATTTTCTCTTGGGTTTGCTAATCTGTGCATTGTTTCACCATGGTAAATAATGGATATTCCAACATACGCATACAAGTAGAGCACCCCCAGCGTGATGTCACTACAAAGCATCAATATGGATATTATATGCAACAAGTGCAATCTTATAATTCAAGTGCAAAAAGGATATAGATGGAAATTTCAGCACTTTTGTAATAAATTTGCTATCCATTTGCATATTTACAGGCAGATTTTAGTACATTTCAGACAGAATGACATAATATTAGGGCTGGGTGTCATTAAGAAGTTGCCGATACGATACATACCTCGATACACAGACCATGATACGATACATTACATACGATAAAATATTATATAATATAATATTTCAAATTGATTCGATGTGGTTTAATAAAAATTAAAGGCTAAATCATGGCTGTGATACTAAAAGTCTTAAAGCCACTTCTTGTGCAAAGTTCCTATGAAACACACACATTTTAATCCTCAAAACAGTGAATATGTCAAATAATGTTTACTTCCTCTAAACAAGCAAAAAAACTGTAGCGCTGTACCAAAACAATGGTGATTTACCGATACAGCAGCCCATGATATTGATACTGTATCATCACATTAAACGATACGATATATAAATATTTCAATATTTTTGCACTCCCCTACATAATATAGTACAACTATTACCAATGCCATGATAAAAAATATATATCCATATTTAAGTTACCCAGTTTTGCTCACCCCTTATTAGGCTGATATTTGTCTTTTGGTCTTATTCTATTAAAAATAATTCTACTGCCCAGTACTTTTAGAACTCTATGTTATCACTGTTCCCTTTGTCAAATACATTCTATCAACTTGTAGCACGATTGTATTATTATATCTTCACCAGGCGCCATGATCTGTTTTTTTCAGCCTATATCTCTAGTGTCATAATGGCTGATCCGCACATTCTCATCTGCAATTTGAAAATTAAAATCTCCCAATTTCTAACACTGCCTGAATAAATTTGATTAGCAAATCTGCATTGAGGCTTAAGTTGATATTGTTTGGTTTGGCTTTTCTCATTGGAGCTAACCCGAGCCAATCTTGAAATCGGCAATATCCCGTTAGCGGCACTAAACTGAACCATTATTGTGAAGAAAATGGATTTATATTAGGCCCCTTCTTCACACAACAACCCCTTCTCTTTCTGCATTTATTCCTCCAATAATAAAACACGTTCCCATTATGTCCAACCCATTGTCTCTCCAATATGGCCGCTCTCCCAGTGCTTAAGCGCCACCTGCACTCTGCCGAACAAAAAGTGTGCTTCTCCCCCAGGCCCTGCGGCGGGTGCATGGCTCTCGTTGCCACTCTTTAGAATAGCCGGGCCGTTCCAGCTCGTGAGGGGGGGTCCTGCCAACATTGCAACACTGCAGTAGCTTGGGTAAATAGCCCTAGTACATTGTTGTCAGTGTGGAGTCTGAGCTGCCAGTGTGGGCCCAGTGCTGATTCCAGGGCTCTGATTACAGTACCTGGCACTAATGATGAGCACGGTGAGTGTTCAAAGAGGGAGGAGGGGGATGGAGTGGCTGAGAGTGGACAGGAGAGGAATAGACATGAGGAATAAATGAATATGTGTTGAAATAATAGGCACAGTTTTATGCAGAATACACTCCAAATAGAAGCTAAAATCGAGAAGTTTGAGGCAGGGGAGGGCTGTTTTGATTGGCTGATGCAACAGACGTGGACAGCTGTGGCTCAGCGGTTAGAACATTTGCCCACAAACCCAAAGATTGGTGGTTCAAAGCCAGTGTTTACCATTACATATTGTTGTTGTGTCCCTGGGCTAAGCATGAAGTCTTTCTGTGAGTGATTTTAAGTGTTTGGAGGGGTCATGTTTTTCACCCAGTCTGCCCCACCACTTGCCAAACTTTAGATGATCCAACCACAGCTGCTAATTTGCAGCATGTGTCCCTGTCGCTCAAATGCGGAAAACATCTCCTCTTGTGTCATTCAGAATAAAATATATAACTTCCTTCTCCTGAATAAGTCATAGTTTGGTGCTTCAATTGTTTATTTCTCCTTTTTTTATGTGTAAGCAGCCATGTTTTATTTGGCACAAATGGAGCATGCGACTCTCTCTTTGCTTATTGCACTTTTTTGCCAATCAAAGATACTGAAATTCTGGGACCTGGTAAAATTTAAAACATGCCAAGTCTTATTTAAAGTGAAACACAGCCTGCTCCCAGATAACATGCAAAAACTGTTTTGCACAAATTAATCAAATATAACCTGAGAGGTCAAATGAATTTTAAAAAACAATTCTCTTGAGCATGTGTGGAGTAGACTTGCACTTCAAAAAAACAATATAAATGTCAAATCCTACAGAAATCCCTAGAAGACTATATATATTGTCTTCACAAGTAAACCACGACTATGAACTAAACACATGCTTTTCTTTAACATTTATCATTATCTTTTATTTTGATATGATCATAAACGATACATTTTGTGCCTTCTTTATCGTTGTTATTATTTTGTACGACCATAAACGAAAACAAAAGTGGCATCAAAAAAAAAAAAAAAGAAGATAAGAACCAAAAACAAACAAAAACAAAAAACA